AACCTCTGCTTTCTGACTCCTCCCTCCCCGCTCTGCCAGCATCAGCAGCGCTTCACTCCCTGCACTTGCACACACACCTCCAGCTGCCATGTCTACATGGATGACTCCCCAAATGCTGTCACTTTCTGAGATTCAATCTCATCGATGGGTTACCTTTACCGGGGTCTTCCGCTGATGCCACCAACCCAGTTTGTAACACATAAACCAGGCATCTATCTGCTAACATTGTTTCCTACCACGCCTTCATTTTCTGTTTTTAAGAAGCGACACTCTCCTTGCAGTGACTCAAGCTTGAAAATGCAGCTTCATCTCTGCCTCCACCCCTATAACACACGGTGATCTCAGCTTTCCAGGAGCTGCCATTTCTGGGTCTATTCCTGGGGTCTGATTTTCTATCTCCGCCCTCTGGATTCCTTTTCTGAAAGTCTCGGGATGAATGTCCCTGGCCTGGGACAACCTTCTAGTTTCATCTGCAGTCATTCTAGTCCCAACATGAAGCTCATGCTGAACACACTAGAATCGGCATCCACTGCTCCCTAAACACACATGCGTCTTCATACCTCTGCTCATTGTAGTCTTTCTCTTCCCATTTCTCCTGTGACCCAATGTGTTCTTCCTTCAAGGTCCCTGGGGTACTTAATGCCAGTCAGTAAAGGAGACTGAAAAAATGCATCCAGAGATGTAAGACCGTAACGGCCATGGGAGAACAGCATTTAAAGAAGGAACTAATCAAAAGCAATGATATTTAGGGGAAAATGAAAATAAGGATTTAGAAGAGTCCCCTGATGACTCTTCCCTAAGGAGCTGTCTGTTCTTGCGATTTCCAATCCTGGTCTCCCTTCTCTCTTAGATCCACTCCAGTGGGGCTTCTACATCACTCCATGGAAACTGCTTCTCAGGGTAACAATGGTCCCCATGTGTAAAACCCCATGGTCAATTCCCAGTCCTCTTCTTACTCCAAAGCCCACTCCTTCTCATCGCGGTTGACGATAACCCCATGCTTCCAAGTGAGCCAATAATCTTGCTGCCATCTTATATACTTTTCTCTCAAATCCCCAAGGCAGTGGGCTCTACCCTTCAGAATCCCCACTTCTCATACCGTCTGCTGCTACTACAGTAGTGCAAGCCATCATTGCCATCTGTTTCTTGGATTTTTTTTTTTTTTTTTTTTTTTTTTTTTTGAGATGGAGTCTCGCTCTGTCACCAGGCTGGAGTGCAGTGGTGATCTTGGCTCACTGCAACCTCCAGTTCCCGGGTTCAAGCGATTCTCCTGCCCCAGCCTCTTGAGTAGCTGGGATTACAGGCATGTGCCACCACACCCAGGTAATTTTTATATTTTTAGTAGAGACAGGGTTTCATCATGTTGCCCAGGATGGTCTCAATCTCCTGACCTTGGGATCCGCCCGCCTGGGCCACCCAAAGTGCTGGGATTACAGGCGTGACCCACCACGCCCAGCCACTTCTTGGATTCTTAACTGGTGTGCCTGTTTCTTCTCACACCCCCGCCACCCCAAGTCTATTCATAACACAGTAGCCAGAAGGGTCCTGTTGAAACCTAAGTCAGACCACTTTACTTCTTTGGCCTCAATCCCATTTCAGTCAGGGTAAAGCGAATCCTCCTCTCTGCTCCTTTTACTCTAGCCTGGGCTCCCCCTGAAACATTCTGCAAGCACACAGGTCGTTCCTTATGCCTGGGAAGCACGTCCTTCAGAGGACAACTCCATGTGGCCAACCTGCTCTCCTCCTTCAAGTCTCTGCTCAAGGAGGCCTACCCTTACTATTTCTCTTACCTTGCTCTGTTTTTTTATTTTTCCACTGTACTTGCCATTTTCTAATGTATTATATAATTTAATTACTTATGCTTATCATCTGTGTCTGCCTGCTAGAATGTAATTTCAGTGTTCACAGATATATTTTAAGTATCTACAATAATGGTTGCACATAGCAAATACTAAAATATCTGTCGAATGAAAGCATGAAGGCCTTTGGAGAAAAAAAGTTCTATGAAGCGCTAAGAACGTCAGGTAGTTTACATGGGTCCAGCAGCAAATGCATGTGAAGAAATGGAACCACAGAGGGAAAGAAACTTGTAATTTATCTAAGCCTTTCCATTCCTATACAGAGTCACTCTGACATGAAAACTACATCTATTAGAAATACCTTTATTATTTTCAATTTTGAATAAGACACTGTAGTATACAACAATGTGAACATTTTAAACATCAAAATATAAAGACCATGACATTCTTAAATATTTATAAATACTGACTATTCTTAAGTATCAATAAATACTCAATATATTAGCAGTTTCAGCATAATACCCCATCATATACAATTTGAAAACAGAGCAAAAATTGGTCAACTGGTTAGTCAAATAAAAGCTGATCATTAACAAATCCATAAATTTTTTTACCTTTTTACTACAGTAAGCAACAAATGTAAATAAAAATATGTAATTATGATATATAATAAAAATAAAAACAAATATAAGCAACCAATACTGTAAAACATAATATATGAGTATGTGAGAAGCACTTTTGCATTCCTAGAAATATGATTCTTGGCATTAATTTTGACATTGCCATAGATTTTTTAAAGTAATCGCTGATTTCTTCAGCTCCTGGAAATAGGCAAACATAAAATTATTTGCTTATGGTTTTAAAATTAAAATGGTTCTAAAACTAATGTACAATTGGAATATAAGAACAATTTCTGGGGGGAGGGTGGTCCATATTGCATATAAATCACCAATAACTTACACAAAGAAGTAAAATGTAGCTTCCCCTAATTAGATTTGGAATTATCTTGGCTTTCAAAACTTGCAATGTTTAAAATAAACTAAAATCTTATTGATTTCTGTGGTGATGCTGAACACAGAAATTTGATCTAGAACCTCTTTTTGGAACATGAACTATGAAATCAGCTGTCTATATACCTATTTATATTAAATCTTACATATATACATATATGCATATATTTTTATAACTTTCATTAGGATAAATATTTTAAGATAAAGATAAAACCTACTTTATACAAAAAAATACACTAATATTAACATGGCAGGTTTTGCCATGTAGGTTAACACTGATCTAACTCAAGTACTATACTATATATTCTAAATTTTAGACACGAATGGAGTATAGGAGGGGCTATCAAGATTATTTATATAAAGAACTGGAAGATGTTAATACCACTTCAGTAGTGGATGTATGGTTTTCATTATTTTGCTCAGTGTAACAATAAAGTAAGTCTCCACTACCTGAGGCATAGTGACTGGGCAGTAACAGGAAGGCGGCCTGGGAATCTGTGGAACAGAGGGGAAGGCTGGTTTTAGGAATGATTACATGCTGTGGATGACTGTGCTCATGAAATATGCATATTTACTAACGTTATTTTCACCACAGCCTCACAAACAAAATGACATACCACTCTTTATAAGAGTCTACTAGATATCTATAATACAAACTTTGGAATGAGAAAAGCACACTCAAAATGGGCTTCAGACAAAATGCTTATCCTTAAGAAAATGGTAACATCATTGGGAAAGAGAGATAATTCTGGAAAACAGAAATGCGTAAAGGTATATAGCAAATTAACACAATTTCAGGAGCAGAAGTTACATTTAATGTTTGAAGGAGAGTTTGTGTTTACTTTTGCTTTTAATTGCAATGGTTTAGTGAAGTGGCGGAGACAATAAATCACATTTACAAAATCAGAGTTCAACTTATACTTGGATCTCTACTGGCTATTTTTATATAATTATTGTTTCAGTGGAATAGCCAATGAAGATTTTAGTTTCTTTTAAATATATTATAACAATTAAATAATATTTTGTACATCAAACATATAAAATGTTTGAAAGCCAGAATAATATTCATTGTCTGAGAAGCTCCATTTCTGTTTCTCTTTTTTTCAAATGTTAGATAATTTATTTGTAATATGGACAAGAAGGTCATTCTAGACATGTGCTTCAATACATATATATCCCTAAGTCTGTGCCGGGAACGCAGAATGAATGTGCTTGAGACTAGACCACCAGCCCTCAGGGGCTCAGGCCATGGCTGTCTCATCCATTTCTGCAGTGGACACAGTGTTTTCCCCACTGCCTGGAACACAGAAGATGCTAATGAGTATTGATGAACACAGAAATCTCCACCCCAATAAAGGCTCCAGTTTTGTTGAGAAATAGGTTTTACATTTATTCAGGGCTTCCTGTTAGTTTGCATATAAAAGCAAAAGTGAAATTTAGTGAGCCTGCAGAGATATAGTAGAGACCCCCAAAATGTAATATATATGCACATTCTTTTTTTCTTAAAAAGTATACTGTATCTTATATTAGAAATACATACACTTTAGTGTTTATGGGTAAAATTATATGATGTCTTGAATTTGCTTTAAAAGATTATAGCAAAAAAAAAGCATGTCTGTGAGGAACAGATGAAACAGTGACAAAATATTAATAACTGATAAATCTGGACGATAGGTACTTAGAGGTTCTTCATACTCTTATCTGTGCTTTATGTGGTTTGAAAATTTCAATAGCAAAAATGATAAATTCAAATTTCAATAATAAAATTGTAAGGGCAAAATAAAGATATTTTCAACCATCAAAACTACTGTATAAGTCATTGGATATTTTGCAAAGATCTGCAGGAGACTATTTACATGACGTTGTAACAGTAAAAAGTTGGGAAGAACTGAAGCATCTGTCAATAGGGGACTAGTTAAATACAGAAACCCACATACAACAAAATGCTATGCAAACATTAAAAAGAAACTGTCGAGTGAAAAAGGAGGTTCCACAGCAGTCTGTAGAGCTGATTTCATGGTCACAGGAGTGTGAGAGACATCCGGAAGAGTGTTCATTCTATATTCAGAATGGTCATCTCTGCAAAGAGAAATTACAGATGGTTTTTTACTTTTTTCTTGAAACTGCTCTGTACTACTCAAGCTTTTCACAGGAGTATGTATTAATTTTATATTTAGGGGAAATTATTTTCTATAATGATTCCTTTAATTGGGGGCTAAATAATATATACACATGGACACAGAGTGCAGAATGATAGACAATGGAGACTCAGAAGATTAGGGGGTGGGAGGTGGGTGAATGATAAGAAATTACTTAATTGGGTACAATGTACATTATTCCAATGATGAATACACTAAAAGCCCTCACTTTACCACTACAATACATCCATGTAGCAAAGTTGCACTTGTACCCCACAAATTTATACAAATAAAATATTTTTAAAATTCTCATTATGTTCTTTCTCCCTGATGAAATGATTTTTAAAATTTACTATTTATTGACTTTGAGACAGGCTCACTTTGTCATTCAGGCTGGAGTGCAGTGGCAAACACAGTTCGCCACAACCTCCACCTCCCAGGCTCAAGCAATCCTCCCACCTCAGCCCCTGAAGTAGCTGGGACTACAGGCATGCACAACCACGCCCAGCTAATATTTTTGGCAGGGGACGGAGTCTCACTGTGTCACCCAGGCTGGAGAGCAATGGCATGATCTTGGCTCACTGCAACCTCTGCTTCTCGGGTTCGAGTGATTCTTCTGCCTTAGCCTCCCGAGTAGCTGGGATTACAGGCACCTACCACCACGTCTGGCTAATTTTTTTTTTTTTTTCAGTAGAGAAGGGGCTTTGCCATGTTGCCCAGTATCGAACTCCTGATCTCAGGTGATCCACCTGCCTTGGCCTCCCAAATGCTGGAATTACAGGTGTGAGCCACCGTCCGTGCCCAGCCCTAGTTTTTCATTTTTTTTTTTGTGGAGATGGGGTCTCACCCTTGTTGCCCAGGCTGGTCTGGAACTCCTGAGCTCAAGCAATCCACCTGCCTCAGCCTCCCAAAGTGTTGGAATTACAGGCGTAAGCCCCCACTCCTGGATGACTTTTTAATTTTAAAAATTGTATCAGGACTTTAGTAGTTCAAAGTGGAAAAGTGCTATATTTCTAAAACAATATGAAACCTGGAAGAGATTTCATTTATTTCTAAAAATGCAAGTAACATCTTAAAGGCACATGCATTTTTCCCTCAATCACCTACTGAGTACATTAAAATGTTAAGATGTCAAAAAGTACATAAAATACAACACATAGCATATATAGGAATAGACTTAAATACCTTTTGGTTAATTAAAATCAGGATGAAAATTCTGTTAGTTATAGGAAGAAATAGCAGTTGGAAAAGATAATGTTTTCTAGTTGGTTCTTAAAGAATCTGAACTGAAAGTATTCCAATAGTTCTATGTAAAAAATAACTTGTGGGTATTTTAGTAATATGTGTGTTCTTAGAATAGAACAGATGGCAGAACAAAATAAAACGTAATTTCCAGATATATCATGTTGTAAATTCAGTGCCATGAACTCAGCATTATCAACTGAATATCACGTTTAAACATAGCCAGCACTGTAGCACTTTTCGAGTAAATTTTAACTAAATGATTAACCTTTGAAATATCATTTAAGGTTTATTATCTGGGGTAGGTATCCCAAAAAGTGGATATTGTAGTAGCTGTTCAAATCTTCTGTTTTTAGATAATCTGCTGCTGCTGTGCGAGCTCTTCCTAGTCTGCAAGGATCCTCAGAACAGAGTTGGGGGGAGCCCACAGAAGACCATTTGCACTCATCCCTCTTTGGAGTCATTACAAAACAGCTGCTGTGCACGGCCCTTATCCAAAGAGTGTACTGTTCCCACCGTGTCCTATTTCTTTGCTGATTTTAGGATTTCAAAGAATTAATTTAAAAGTAGCTGCTTTTTACCAAGAGGTTGGGGACCCCTAAACTTGGCAATCCCAATTAAGATAATGTAAAAGCAAATCAAAAGCTATCACCTCAGTTACCTGGTAGACATTTCCTTCTTTCAGGTCCATGTTCTAAGCATTAGGAATGATGAGAGATTTCTTAGGTTTTGATTTATCTGAATCAAGTATCTGTATTAGATTGAAGAATCACATTTTGTTACAAATTAACTGCATATACTTACAGTTGCTCTAAGGTAGATATTCTGTTTATTAATTAGTATGGTTCTAAATGATCTCGAGGAAATCATTTAAATACTTATTTAGGGATTTTAAAGGTCTAGCATATGACAAGTAGTGCCAGGTTATTATTATTATTATTATTATTTTACCTGCTTCCTAGAAGAACTGGATTGGCCATAGTGCGCAGTATTGGAATGATGCTTCTTTGAAGTTTTGGAAGCCTCTGGACATAATTTTCTTTTAGACTTGTGGGCTATTTTGCTTACTATCAACCTGTGGTCACTTGTACCAACTTCTTTAGCTTGATTTTCTGATTGCTGCTGTAGCAGTCGGGGATCTTCTGTTTCTCCATCTGATTCAAAAATGTGTGGCTGTCTTTTCAGTTTTAGTGACCCATGGCTTTTCCCTAAAATTTGTGTTATACATTTGCCTGTTAAATTTTCTTTTCCTTTCATTTGGACGTCAACAGCACTTTTTACTACCCCTAAATTGTTATTTGACCTCAGCAATACTGCCCTGTTAGATAGTTGCTTATTTTTGTTTAAACTCACAGTTGATTTTCCATTAGAAGAGGAAAATTTTCTCATATTTTCAGAAGACTCTGTATTTTTTTCTTGCAGAGGTCTGGAATTCTCCTGATTTAAATTGTTAGCAACCTGCATCTGAATGTTACTATTATATCTGTTTTTTATAGCTGGACCTAAATTCAGTTTGTCATGCTGGATCATACTAGTTTTGAGTGAAAACAATTTAGATTGTGTCACAACATGCTGTTTTCTTTTCGGGCTGCCAAGTACTAAGGTATTTTTGAAAACTGGTACAAACTTAGGGGTGATGTTGCTTTGGGAGCTAAGATCTGTGTGTTGAACTTGAGCATTTCCTCTGTTGGGCATTAATACTTCCGAACGTACTTGTGGAGCCCTGATAGACAGGGATTTCTTTCTACTCTGAACAGACTCTGGCTGGAGATGCAAAGCTGAGAAAATGCCTGCTGTTGGCTGGCTGACTGAAAGCTCCACCTTGTGGTCCACTGCTACTGAACATGGTAGAAGACTTTGAGCACAGGCAGGTTTCATGGAAGTGGCTTGAGTCAGAGATGCCCTGAACATTTTTTTAGTGGTCAAATTGGGTGGCTTGACTTTGTGTTCCTGAAAGGATAGAGATTTTTAAAAAATTAAAAATGTTAATAATGTCCTTAATGAAAAAGAAATAAAATATAAAATACCATCCAATTAAGAATATAAAGCAACACTATGATTTACAGAACAGGTAAAGAAAAAAACAAAATAAAAATGAGCCTTCTGGTGGAAATGTGTACATTTCTTAAGGTTTGTATCCTCCTTTAGATACTATCCAAGATACCATCTTAAGATAAAGGTATATACTACATTTCATATAAATCTACTATAAAAACCATTCGCACAGCTACTCATTGTCCTCCAAACATGCTCATGCTGCTGTCTTGCTCACTGAACAAGGTATGGCCTCCTTTAGATACTCAAAGTCCCACCTTCTCCCACCCATCAATCTACCATAGAGTGACTGTTTTTCTGTCAACTCTCCAAGGATCTGCTATAAATTAAATATTATTTGTCACACAAAAAAAAATAGTACAAGGTAAGCTATCTTATCTTTCAGTGCACATGTTCCATCTTCCTAAGTAGGTACTAGATTCTTGGAGGGTAAGAACCAGGACTTATTTACTCTTAAATCCTTCACAGTTACTAAAAATCCTTGTTGAAAGAAATTAATAAAGAGGTGGCTGCACCTACACTAGGCCTTTAGGAATAAGTGGGATTTTGACTACAGGGAAGATGCCATCTGTGTCTTAATCATGTTTGTTTTTTCACTGCCTACCACAGTGCCTGGTACCTGGTAGCAATTCAGCAAGTATTTGTCAAAGAAATTTGTCAGATGCATGAAAATGATTCAAGTGTTTACAGTCTTTTAAAGATGAACTGTGGATACACACACACATACACATAAATAATATAAAATTTACCATTTTAACCATTTTTAAGTGAACAATTCAGTGGCTTTAAGTACATTTACCACTGTACTGTGTTATATAACCATCAACACTATTTCCAAAAATTTTTTTTCATTCCAAACAGAAACTTTGTACTCTGTAAATAGTAATTTCCTGTTTCCTCTTCCTTCTAGCCCCTGGTAACCTCTATTTTACTTTCTCTTCTATGAATTTGCCCATTCTAGGTACCACGTGTAAGTGGAATCATAAAATATTTGTCTTTTTGTGTCTGGCTTATTTCACATAATGTTTTCAAGGTTCATCTATATTGCAACATGAGTCAGAACTTATTCCTTTTAATGACTGACTATTCCCCTGTACATATATAGCATATTTTATCCACTCATCTGTTGGTGGAAAGTATTCTTTTAAAGTACATGTCTATTGAGTCCTGTTGTCTGTAAAAGACTGATACGTGGCAATAATCTGAAACACTGAACACCAAGTTCTTTTCTTACTTTCCCCATCAAAACACAGGTTCACAGCTTGAAATAAACATTTTAAAACTGCTAGGAATAATATGCAAACTTGAATGACTAGTTTTTCTCTCCACTACTGGAGGCTCCACTGTTGAATGAGGTTGAGAAGAGAATAGGAAAGATTTTGGAAATCAGAGTTGGAAATCACAAGTAAGAGACTGTGATTAGTAAGAGACTAATCCAATTATCTATTAGGCATAAACAAATCACACCAAAATGTAGTTGCTTATAACCAATAATAATTATGTTATCATCTCTCACTATTCTGGGGGTTGGCTTGGCTTAGTTTGGCATCTCTCATGCTGTGTGGTTAGATACTCTGCAGCTGGAGATCACTTCCTCTTTCACATGTGATAGGTGATGCTGGCTATTGACAGGCAGTCTCTTCCTGTGCTGGGGATCTCTCACAGATTGGACTCCAAGAACAGAAGTCCCCAGAAAGACCAGGTGGAAGCTGTTTCTCTCCTAAAGACCTAACCTCAGAGTATGTTGCATCACTCTGTCATAGAGACATCCAGACTCAAGAGAACAAGACCCATACCTCAATGACAGGAGTATTGTTCCATGACCAAAATGATGTGGAGAAGGAAATTCCAGGAAACTTAGTTCCATAATACTTAACTTGACATAATAGAAAGTCATTACAGAGAACAATACTCCTCCTTCCATGTTGACTATTCTTAGGAAAAATGGAAAGTCTCCAAGAAAATGTTGAGTGAGATTTGGGGGTGATGCTGAAAATAGGTGACTGGGATTCATTTCTGGAGATTACTTCAGTTGGAGGCTTACCCATACCACCAGGGCAAGAAGACATCCTGTCTTAGTTTGTTTTGGCTGCTATAACAGAGTAGGTAGTTTATAAACAACAGTTTTGGAGGCTAGGACGTCCAAGATCAAGGCAGATCCCTCTTGGGCCTTTTAAATAAGAGCCCTAATCCTGTTTAGCACAGTTCTACCCCCATGACCTAATCACCTCCCAAAGACCCTACCTCCTAATATCATCACCTTGGGAGTTAGGGTTTCAACATTTAAATTTTGGAGAAATACATTCAGACCATAGCACATCCTTCTTAATTTGCCCATTATTTTCAAAGGATACAAAGAAAACCCAGCAAAGTTTCATGACCCTGAATGACGAAATACAGAAGTTAACCAAGGAAGAATTACTGGCTTACTGCCCCTTGACATTGCTCAGCTGAGTGAAAAAGCATGCATCAAGAAGGGGTTTGTATTAGTTTGCTAGGGCAATGTGGCACAAAGTGCTACACACTGGATGGTCTACACAACAGAAACATTATCTCAGTTTTAGAGCCTTGAAGTCTGAAACCAAGGTGTTGGCAGGGCTGGTTCCTTCAGAGGGCCAGGAGGAAAGGATCTGTTCTGGGCCTGTTTTCTCGGCTTGTAGATGCCCATCTTCACATTCACACAGTGTTCTTCCTCTATGTGTGTCTGTATCCAAATTGCCCCTTTTCATAAGAACACTAGTCATATTGGATTAGGGGCCCACCCTACTATAGTATAACCTCATTTTAACTAACTATATCTGCAGCGACCCTATATCAAATAAGGTCACATCCTAAGGAGCTGGGGGTTAGGATTTCCGTGTATGTATCTGGGGGTACACAATTCAACCCACAACAGGATTGGGTATATACTTCTGGAGAGAGTAGAGAGAGGAGGCAGATGTTTTTCTGAAGACTCCCTGTACAAGGGAGCTAGGGTAAAGCTAAAAAGTAACTGATAAAACCTCATATACTATCTCTGTTGAGATACCATATAAGAGACCACCACCATCAAATCAACCCAGGTCAAGAAGTGAAGGTGTGAAGGCCTCCTACCCCCACACTCCCCACAGCCAATCTCTCTGCTGTGACTGCCATGGATAGGACGGACTGGTATTCAACCTCCATTCCACCCTCCTCCTAGTGCTCCTACATAGACTAAAGCCTGGAAATCTAAAATTTACATTTCATCTTTTGCAGCTAGGGTTTGGATGTGATTTAGAAACAGCCAATCAGATGCACTCATAAAATATTTGGAAGTAGAAGTAAGGTCAAGCCACACTTCTGTTGTTTTTGCAGAAACGCTTAATTATGAATGCCTTTGATTTTCAGTTGCAGAGTTAGCAGCTTAAGTGTAGGGGAGGAGAATGTAGGGTACCATTCTCTTGCTATAGAGTAGTAGTCCTCAACTTGACTTTTTGGCATCAGGGACTGGTTTTGTGGAAGACAATTTTTCCACGGACCAGGGTGGCAGGGGGGATGGATTTGAAATGAAACTGTTCCATCTCAGATCATCAGGCATTCAAATCTCATAAGGAGCATGCAACCTAGATCTCTCGCATACGCAGTTCACAATAGGGTTCGTGCTCCTATAAGAATCTAATGCCGCTGACAGGAGGCAGAGCTCAGGTGGTAATGCTCGCTCGTTCTCCTGCCACTCACCTCCTGCTGTGTGGCCTGGTTCCTAACAAGCCATGGACTGGTAGGTCCATGGCCTGGGGGTTGGGGACCCCCGCTATAGAGCATACTAAGCAAACATACCAATGTACTTCACCACATACCACTGCCCTTGTCCTATGCAAGGTCTCCCCGCACAGATGCTATTGTGAGAAGAAGGGTTCTTAAATTGGATTGAAGAACATTTCTACCTTAAAGAGATGTTTTGTCATAAGGGACTGAGTCACCTTGAAGTGTCCAGATTGAATTTTTTTCCATTTGATGAAAAAAGGGTTAAAGAATTAAGTTAAAAATGAATATAGAAAAGCAAAGAACACGCACTGTTTGGACCCTTGGGTTCTATAAACTGTAGTAATGTTTAAAACAATATATCTACTACTTGAGATAAAAGAAAACTCATAGGCAGATTCATATAAGTTACTTGTTTTTGGACAGAAAACTGTACTAGAATATGTGTGTGGTGTATGAAATATGTTTATATTCACACACTGTTTCTTCTTCAGCTGTCTTTTGGAAATATACATATGGTGAACATAACTTCTAGAAGTTTCTTTTGCTCCCTAGCCTAGCCTGTCAATATATTATTTACTCATTCTTTCAATTTTTAAGATAAAGTAAATAGCTCAAAGGGGGAAACCTCTAGATTTATATCCAAAATTTATAAAAAGACTACAAAAGAGCCTATGTAAACAGCAGATGAGATCATAAATAATTCACAGAACTTAAATATACTTAATAGTCAACAAACTACAGCTTTGTGAAGTCATAAGCCAACAAAAAAAACATATGCTTTATTATATCATTATCATTATTCTGCCAAGTGTCATTGGCAAATGCAACCTGGTTGAACTTTAATTTCTAGAATTTATATATAACATGTAACTTTATACATTAACATAACATTATAGAAGAAGGCTAAAAGCTTGAACTTACATATGAACGAATATCTCACGGAAGCTTAATATTAAAGTAATAATTAAATGAAACTTGAGAAATGACGAAGATGACTAATCAAAAGTTTTATCGCTCAAAATTTGGTTCCGTGCATTGCATCACCTCAGTGTATTTCTTGCTTCAAGTTGAAGCAGAATTCAGTCAAGCTTAGATATAACCACAGGTTTATAGGACATATGGGTTTTTGAAGAATATTTTCTTTAAGTGACATGACACAACAAGAAAGCAGTCAAATTCAGAATATGGGACATTCTCTAGGGAAAATAATCTAGTTTTCCCACAAATAACTGGCCTAAATAAAAGGGGAGAGAGTTTGAGATGTTATAGAATAAAGAGATTTAAGAGACATACATAAAATTATGTGGAACATTTTTTGGATTCTGATTTAAACAAAACTCCTAAAAATAAATCTGTGTGAGATAAGTGGGGAACTGCAGTGTGAACTAGTACTTAACAGATATTAAGAAACTACTGTTAATTCTGTTAGGTGTAATAATAACATAGGGGTTATATAAAAATATTTTGAAATGAGATAGAATGTACACCATAGTCTTTACAGGTAAAACACTATATCTGGGATTGGTTCTAAAATCCCCCAGTTTACTCCCTACCCAAAAATATGTCAAGGGGAAACTAGATGAGAAGCACATGAGAGGTGATTATACTAATTTCCTTCATGTATCTTTGACATTTTCTGTATGTTAAAAAAAAAAAAAAAAAAATTTGACTAAGCATTCCTAATTTTTTTAAGCTGACTGAGTTTTATCAAGTAGTCTGATCAATTTGTTTTCCATTTTTAAAATTTATGCTTTTTCCACTACATGAATCTTAAGAGTTAACATGTATGTGGTCTACCAATAATAACTTACTAAGAGCTCACCAAGAAACTTTTCTATGTGTTATCTCATGTAGTCCTAAAAACCCCTATGAAGTAAGTACTGCAAAAGACATGACCCTCTTCAAAGGAAGGACTTACTGCCTCTGGTGGAGTGCTGTCAGCAGAAACCCCTTTAGGGATTGCTTTGGTTACAGAGGGCCAATGCCCAAGGATATGCCTGTCTCAGGGTGGCCCAAATCCAATGACAGATGCAGAAGGGGTTATAAAGGCCTGGCTATTTGGACCAGTGCAGAACAACTCTGATGGGCCATTTTAGTCTCAGAGCTCCTCAGAAGGGTGGCCAGGGCCATCTGGTGTCTGCTTTGTTTTTGACTTCTCCCTTTCTCCAATCTTGCTTCCTCCCTGCCTTCCACAGGTATTGTTTCCAAGGGCAGTCCCTAGCAAACATCATGTGCACTAGGCCACCTCAGAATCAGCTCCTAGAGAACCCAATCTGTGACAAGTTTTATCATTACCACTGCTAGCCTCTGCCTCATTTTACCCATGGAGCATTTTAAAATGGGGCACATGGAGATCAAATAACTTGGCCCAAATTATACAATTAGTAAGAGGTTCAAATTCAGGCAGCCTGTTTCTAGAGCTTGAGCTCTTAGCTACAAATATAAACTTTTTCCAATTATAGGACTAAGAATCTTGGGTTTCAATTCTAATTCTGCAATGCATTTAACTGTGTGGCTTTGGTTAAATAATTTTGGTGAAATTATTGGGATGTTCTGTCTCCTCTTCTGCAAAATTGAGTAAATCCTTTATCCAAAGATCAATTTTTTATTATTAAATGAAATAATACACACATAAGCAGCTGGCATGCAGAAGGCACTCAGTAGAATTGAGTAGGATAAATTCTTATTGTAAAGAACAATATAAAACCATAATTTCCAATTAAGTGTTATTTTACATTCATGAAGCAAATTTTAACAAGCACATTGTTCTGATTAACTATTTCTAAAACAAACATGGGCTGGAAATCTTAAGTATTCCAGAAATATATTCAAAAAACATGTGTGATATAACAACATATCTTCTTCCAGATTCTTTAGGTTCAGACCTGGCCAGCAACTTTAAAAGATGCTATGTCTGAACAAAACTTTAATACTATTTTAAAGATGTCAATGGGCATTTGTCCACTCACTCTCCCTTCTGAGGAGATGACCTTGTCTGCAGGCCTTTGTGTCTAGGTTGTCAGGTTTTTGTACCATTTTTCTCTAACTAACAGTAGGAGGAGTTGGCCCCTGACCAGGAAGATAAACAACTCTCAATTATAAATTTACATGTATCTAATATTGTGGTCTCAGAATACATAAAGCAAAATATGAAAGTAGGAAAAGTAGATAAATCCACATGATGTTGGGAGATTAGAACACACTTCTCAGCAACTGACTGACAGGTCATAATGTATTTAAGCCAGAAACACATAAGGAAAAGATAGCTAGAAAATTCCCATATCTTAGAAAGTTAATAAATACATTTTAAAATAATTCATGTAATTAGTACATTTTGAGGTAATTTATTTATAGGAAGTACAAAAGACTGCCCTATACCTAAAGTTATAAACTATTATTGAGAGAAATTAAATAATATATGTTTAATATGTGGAGAAATATACAATATTCTTAAATTGTAAGACTCAATGAAATTCCCATCAAAATCCCAACATGCTCTCTCTGTCTCTGTGTGTGTGTGTGCTCATGTGTGTCTGTGTCTATGTGTAAGTTGACAACTTGAAACTAAATGTGTATGGAAATGCACAGTTCAATAGATAAGATGCTTTATCAGATTTCAAAAATCTTACAAAATTTAAGATTAAAACACTATAATAAATATAAATTTTAAGATTACATAATTAAGATGATTTGAAAAGCATGGTATTGGGGCTAGGATCAACAAACTGACCAGAGAAAGAGATTAAAGAGGCCTGAAACAATACTATACACACAAAGACACTGGATTTATGACAAATGTAGTGCTGCAAAGTTTTGAGGGGAGAAAAAGTATTGAGAAAAAAGTACTGGGGTAAGAATGGTCTTTTTTATCTTTAGCTTGGACATATAGATATCCATATTAAAGAAATCTGACTCCCTACATCACATCACATTACAAAAATAAATTCCAACTGCATTGCAGATCTAAATGTGAATGCAAAACAACCTTTTATTGGATGATATTAGAGGAGAAGACCTTCATGACTTTGGGGTACAGAAATATTTTTTAAACAGGATACAAAAAGTAGCAACCATAAAGAAAACGACTGATCACTCTGATTATAAATTAGGACCTGCTGCCAAAAGATACTATTAAGACACCAAGACAACTTTAAGAGAGAAAGCATGTTATAGAATGAAAGAAGATAATTGTATATAACTGCTAAAAAACTCATATCTCACTTATGTTAAAAATACATATAAATCAATAAAAACACAAACACATAACACAGTAGAAAAATGAAAGAATGGCATTTCAAAAAAAAAATCCAAATGGCCAAAATACATATGAAAAGATGTTCAATCTCATTAATAATCAGGAAAATGCAAATTAAAAACACAATAATAAATACACCTATCACAAGGGCTGACATTAAAGACCAACAATACCAAAAATGGGCAAGGATATGAAGCAACATAAATTCTCCTATACTGCTTTGGGGCAGAGGGGAGTGCAGATTGGTTAGGGAAATAGTTTGGTGTTGCCAGCAAAGTTGGAAATACCCATACTAATTCTACTCCTGGAGGTTTCATGTACATGAAACATATACGAGACATATACAAGAATGTTCATCACAGCATTACTAGTAGTAGCCCCTAAAAAGAAACAATTCAAATATTCATCAATAATATTCTGGATAAACTGCAGCATAATCACATAGTCAAATGCTACATATAAAGGAAAATAAACCAACTATAGCTAAGTGGAGCAACATGGATGAATGTCACAAACATGATGCTGAGCCTAAAAAGCCAGGCACAAAGGAATACGTACTCTGTGATTTACTTTACATGAAGTTCAAAAGCAGGCAAAATGAAATATGATGTTTAAGGACACATACTTAGTTGACAAAATAAGGAATCATTTCCATAGTAGTGGTCATCTTTTGGGAAAGGAAAGGAGTTACTACTAAGAAGGTATAAGTAGGAGGCTCCTAAGTCCTGGCAAGGTTCTATGTTTTATCTGTGTGATAGTTACATGGACATTTGATATTCATTAAGCTGTACAATATTACTTTTCTATATGTGTGCCGTATGTCACCATAAGAATAGATTTTAAAATGCAGAGGAGACAAACTCAGTAGAAAACACCCTCCCTCCCCAATAGTTTCCAGCCTCAGTAAAAATAAAAACCATGAATCTGATTTCAAGTTAAGTCCTCAACCGCTTTGGTCTGACAAACTCTGAGATGTAGGCCAATCCCCATATGGCCATTTCATCTTTAATTTGTCCATTAGCAGATAGCTAATTATATTAATTTCTTAATGAAATCAGACAGAAGACAGACACTAGCCCTCTGCTTCCTTATACAGCAGGGATCATACTTTAATCTCTAAGTGGTTCCATAGAAGCTCCAACTTACTTGACTTGGTGAGGGGCAGACATCTTACCTTCCATTTAACTGAACTTGTACTGACAGCACAGTATCTCCAAATAAATACTCTTCATAAAACTCTGTCTCTTCAGTCTCCAATAACCCAACTTATTTATATCCTTGATGTGGGTGAAACATTTCAGTAAACAACCACTACTATAGTACCATGTTAAATATAATAATAATAACAAATGACTAAGTATAGTAGTAGTAATAACAAACAGTTTTAGGGAAACATTGAACTGAGAGAAAAGAATTATTGCTGCACATTGGGTTGGGTATTCCACCCCAGAAGGCAAGAGATTCAAGTAAAATAGATGGATAGTATGTCTTGGAGAACTAGATAGGACAAGAGATCTCTTACCTGTATGTTAGGTTTAGTTAGTTCTTGTGTGTAGTAGCACGGTTTACTTGTTATCTTTATGGGAAATCCACATATATGAGGCAGTTTAGATTTTAAATCTGAAAGAAAACTTTTCAACACAACTTCTGAATCTACCCTTGGAAAGAACTGTATGGGCTGACTTCTGATGCAACTGAGAGGATATCTGAACAATGTTAAAGAACAATGTCTAATTTTATTACATAAGAGGTGGCAATTTATATGGGATTTTAAAAAGTATTAAAGTAGCAATGTTACAAAGGCACACATAAATATATCCTAACTCTTTTATATTGCTTATCTGATACCATCCACAGCTGAAAGCATGTTTCCTCACAGGGATCTTCATTCCTTACATTCTAACACTCCACATTGAGACAATTCATAGTATCTTACTACATGGCTTTCTAAACGGAAGGGCAACTACGATACTCCAAAAACAATGTGTAAGAAAGATACTATAAGCCTTACGAATTACAAAATAAGTATTATAATAAACAATGAACAGGTTGCACCTCCAAAAACAGTAAAAAATTCAGGACAGAGAAACAACACATACAGATTGTATTTAAGCTGGGGAAGCAGTTCTTTGAGAAAGCAGTTACTTTTTCTGATGAAACATATTCTGAAGATTTTGAATAATATGTTGGCATCTAATGAAAGAAAATAACTGATATATGTTAACCTCAGTTTTACTATTAAAATAAGTTTGGCTTAGGAAACATAGAATGCGAAAAGACAACACTAAGACAACCATTTTTAAACTCCAGCAGGTCAGAATACAGATAGAACTGGTGAAATCAGTACTAAGATTTAAGAGTTTTGCCTGAGCACTTACGCTCTTCTCATGTGTATATTTTAATTTTTAAAAATATCGTTTAAAAATATATTTTCTTAAGTCAACGGCGTGCAATTAAATATAAGTCAAATCATTTAAAATTTGCCTATGAAATTAGATAATCTCCTCAAAAGAAAAATCTTGTTTTTGTTTCCAACCTAACTTTTAATTCAACCCTTTCAATTGTATCTGAAATGCCACTGGAGGGAGCACTTGGCTAAGCAGAAGCATGATTGCTTTTTTAACTTTCTAAGAAAGTTCTAACTTTGGTTTTCTAAATTGTTGAAATGGTGTTTAAGGAAAATATCCTTATTAAGTTCATCCTCATATAAAAATAGGAAGATATTCTAAGCAAACCAAAAACACTTGTACAGATAAGAAGTAGGGGGAAATGTACCATAGTTTCAGTTAGACACAGAGAAGGTTGAAAAGTATGACATGAGAGTGGGAGCAAAACTAGATTATAATGTGGGCAGACAATATTTGCTTCAGTTGCTGTGTAAAGGATACGTGAAGGTCCTTTCTCCGAGCATCTTGAAATAGATGTTGCAGTATATTTTAATTTTTCCACAATCTTCTGGAAGTTTATAGCCATACTAAAAATTAAGCACAAAATTTAAAATATCTTGGAGAAAGCTAAACTTAGGCTAAGTTACAATAAACAAAAATCAAATAACTTCTAATGTAACATATATTTCCATTCCTTACCAGGGCATCCCAGTGTCTCTGGAAATCTCCATATGAGCGAAAAGGACAGTCAGGCGGGATGGCATGAAGAATATTTATAATTTGTCCCATTTTCATACTATGAAAAATGAGAGGAAGTTATTATGAGCCAATGCTTAAATATAGTTTAATAAGTCAACTACATGATTTAGAAAGTGTTCAAAAAAGATTTAACAACCATCTCACTAGCTATATATAGTAAACTAAACATCTCAAATTTCAAACACATTGTACTAAATCTTTTTATTTTGCTTTAATTGACAAATAAAAATACTATATATTTATCATGTATGACATATTTCAAAATATGTATACATTGTGGATTGCTAAGTCAAGCTAATTAACATGCATTTACTCATACACTTTGTGTGTGTATGTGTGTGTGTGGTAGACCACTTAAAATGTACTCTTTGCTCTATTATTTATTTTTTGAGACAGTGTCTCACTCTGTCACCCAGGCTGGAGGGCAGTGGTGCAATCTCAGCTCACTGCAACCTCTGCTTCCTGGGTTCAAGCCATTGTTCAAGAGATTCTCCTTCCTTAGCCACTAGCTGGGATTACAGGCATGCACCACTATGCTCAGTTAATTTTCGTATTTTTAGTAGAAACAGGGTTTTGCCATGTTGACCAGGCTGGTCTCAATCCTGGCCTCAGATGATCTGCCTGCCTTGGCCTCCCAAAGTGCTACAATTACAGGTGTGAGCCACCTCACCCCTTCTTAGTGATTTTTAATATGTATGTAAAAAAAGTAATTGCAATTTTTGCCATTACTTTCAATAGCAAAAACTGCAATTACTTTTGCACCAACCTAATACTTTTTTATTAACTATAGTCACCATGCTGTACAATAGATCTTTTGAAGTTATCCTTCCTATATAACTGAAATTTTGTATCCTTTCACCAACATCTCCCCAATCCATGCCTTCACTCCCACCTACCCAGCCCCTGGTAAGCACTATTCTACTCTCTGCTTCTGAGAGTTCAATTGTTTTAGAGTCCACAAGGAAGTGAGATCGTAAGGTATTTGTCTTTCTGTGCCTGGCTTATTTCATTTAACATAATATCCCTTAGATTCATCCAAGTTGCAAATGACAGGATTTCCTTCTCTTTTAAGGGTGACTATTATTCTATTTGTGTATATACCACATATTTCTTTATCCATTCATCTGTTGCTGGGCACTTAGGTTGATTCCGTATCTTGGCTGTTATGAATAATACTGAAATGAACGTGGCGGTGCAGATATCTCTTCAATATACTGATTTAACTTCCTTTGTGTCACCAGTAGTGGGATTGCTAGATCATAAGATATTTCTATTTCTAATATTTTGAGGAACCTCCATACTGTTTTCCATGATGGCTGAACTAATTTACATTCTCATCAACAGTGTGCAAGTGTTCCCTTTTCCCCACATCCTTGCCAGTATTTGTTGTATTTTGTCATTTTGATAATAATCATTCATCAGGTATGAGGTGATCTCTCATTGTGACTTTAATTTGCATTTCCCCGATGATTAATGGTGTTAAGCATTTTTTTTTTGAGTCTGGAGTGCAGTGGAGTGATCTCAGCTCACTGCAAGCTCCGCCTCCCAGGTTCACGCCATTCTCCTACCTCAGCCTCCCAAGTAGCTGGGACTACAAGCGCCTGCCACCACGCCAGGCTAAATATTTTTTTTTTTTTTTTTTTTTTTTTGAGATGGAGTCTTGCTCTGACGCCCAGGCTGGAGTGCAGTGGCGCGATCTCCACTCACTGCAAGCTCCGCTTCCCGGGTTCCCACCATTCTCCTGCCTCAGCCTCCCGTGTAGCTGGGACTACAGGCGCCCGCCACCGTGCCCGGCTAATTTTTTTTAAATGTATTTTTAGTAGAGACGGGGTTTCACTGTGTTAGCCAGGATGGTCTCAATCTCCTGACCTCGTGATCCGCCTGCATTGGCCTCCCAAAGTGCTGGGATTACAGGTATGAGCCACCCCGCCTAGCCGGTGTTGAGCATTTTTTCATACACCTGTTGGTCATTTAAATATCTTCTTTTGAGAAATGTTATTTGAGGGCTTTGCCCATTTTAAAATCAGGTTATTTGCTTTCTTGCTATTGAGTTATTTGAGTTCCTTATGTAGTTTGGATAGTAGCTCTTTATCAGATGTACGGTTTACAGATATTTTCTCTCATTTTGTAAGTTGTCTCTTCACTCTGTTGACGTTTTCCTTTGCCATATAGAAGCTTTTCAGCGATGTAAACACATTTGTCTATTTTTGCTTTTGTCATCTGTGCTTTTTCACAGATATGTAGTTTTCAGTGTACAGGTCTTTCACCTCCTTGGTTAAATTTATTGCTAAGTATGTTTTTGGTAGCTATTATGGACAAAATTATTTTCATTGATTTCTTTTACAGATAGTTTGTTGTTAGTATATAGAAACGCTACTTTTTTTGTGTGATTTTGTATCCTACAACTTTACTGAATTTGTTTATTAGTTCTAACAGTTTTTTGGTGGAGTCTTTAGGATTTTCTATATGTAAGATATGTCACCTGCATACAGCAACAATTTAACTTCTCCCTTTACAAGTTGGATGCCTTTTATTTCTTTCTCTTGTCTAACTGCTCTAGCTAGGACTTCTAGTACTATGTTGAACAGAAGTGGAGAGAGTGGGCATCCTTTTCTTGTTCCTGATTTTAGAGAAAAAAGCTTTTAATTTTCCACTGTTGAGTATGATGTTAGCTATGGGTTTGTCATATATGGCCTTTATTTGTATTGTATTTTAACAACTAGAATTACTAGAAAAAACTAAATTAGATTGTTGTAAACAATGTGCCAACTGTAAACACAAAATAATGACTAATAAATTTTTCAACCCAAAGATATTACTGGTAATTGTTAGAATTTAGGGAAAAGTCTGTTAGGTGGTAAATGAATTAGAGTTAAACCTATGTTTTCTACCTACCTCCTCCCAGCTTCAATGATTGAATTATTACGTGTATGCCACTAAAGTTCTTTTTCCTAAGCGATTTAAAATTTTATCCCAATAGTCCTGCTTATACTAGTAACAAAATATTTTTTCCTGAAAATAGTACAAACTTAAAACTCAGTTCATATCAAATTATAATGAATCATTAATGATTAGATACAAGTTTATGAGGTTTTAATATTGATAGTTTTCATTTTATAATGAGAAATTTAGAAATATTACCTTTTTTGAAACTAGATCTAATAAAATTTGAATATATAATAAAATTAGTAATTTGATAAAGAAAATTCATGGCTTTTGTAAATATGACAATATTGTTTCAATACCTTTGTGAAGTCATAATTCAGTATTTTAAAATTCACCAAAATGGTTTATACTTTTGTACATGTCAATGTTAAGAAGGCAAAATAAGGGAAACCACCGTATTTTGAACCCACTCTAGATACTACAAATTGAAATCTCACCTTGGCAAAACGTAGCACCAGTTGCTTAAAATGGAATGTCTCTCAATGACCGCATGCTTGTTAGTATGAAAATCCTTTATAAGACTCGGGGAAATCTCAAACTCTTTTAGCTTTGAATGGAAATAAGATTTGTAAATGCTCGATTTGGCAAAAAAGGAAACATTTTAAAAGAAACGTATTTGTTACATGCACATAGTAGGTTATAAAGTGGTTTTAAAGACTTAAGTTACATTGAATCATGCATAATCACTTTACATAAGTAATCAAAGTTGCAGCTCACCCTGCTTCTCCTTTATACAATATAAAAAGCATTTCATGCTTTCCCTCTTACCATCCAAGCCCAAACTCTTATTTTGCAGTTATTTTAGCTGGTTTTCAGGTTTTTAAAAAATTATGTTAATTTGCAGGGAGTTGAATCTCTTCCAAAGGAAGGTGTTCATATTTCAAAATAATAGCTTTTAACCTCAATTGTTTTTTTAAATGGAGGATGAGTAAGGGAATTATACTTCTTTCCGGTCTTTTGGAGGAGAAAAGACAGAGCCAATGCTCCAGTCTCCTTTTATACCCCTAACAGCCTCCTAGAACACTTTCTTCCTTGTTCCTCCAGTGTCCTCCCTATAGGGCATTTTGGCTTGTATTTAACCTACAAGAGTTTGCCAATTACAGCTCTCTTACCCTGGAAAATCTCCCTGAGAGGCACTGTTCCAGTTAGCCAAAGATATAAAGAGACCTCAAGGAGGGTGAAAAAACAAAGTATTAATGGGTGAAAGGACACTGTATTAAGATTAGAGAGAATGATTCATAAACCCTCACCCCATTCCCCATTTTTCTTCTTCTTCTTTTTTTTTTTTTTTTTTTGATAGGGTCTCACTCTGTCACCTAGGCTGGAGTGCAATGATGTAATTTTTGTTTCCCATGAAGAGTGGATCTACTGCCTCAGCCTCCTCAGTAGCTGGGACTACAGAGTCCACCACCACGCCCAGCTAATTTTTTTTTTGTATTTTTAGTAGAGATGGGGTTTCACTGTGTTAGCCAGGATGGTCTCGATCTCCTGACCTTGTGATCCGCCCACCTTGGCCTCCCAAAGTGCTGGGATTACAGGCATGAGCCACTGCACCCAGCCAACCCTTACCCCATTTTTAACTAACCACCTAACATCTTTTGAGAAACAATGTTCTAACCTTCCTGCCTACTACTTTTCAAGGAAGTCCAACTAAACTAGACAACTTTTTATTGCTTGGACAACTCATAAGCATCTTACCAATACAGTTGCTTAAAGTATTGTCCCCACTCTGATTTCTCTTACTCCTACCAATAAGGTCCTGATGCCTGGATCTAGACCCATCTTCCCTATATCCAGTGACTGATCCTTCTCTGAGTTCCTGTGGCATTCAGTAAAACTAATGGAAATGGAGGAGCAGGGAAGAGCAGGAAAACATGAATGCAGGAAGAGGAAGATAGAATATGTTAATTACATTGTGAGGTAAAAGAGCAAGGCCACACAGAATGAATAAGGACACATATTTTCCTGAGCACAAGAGATAAATCTTGCACTGTGATGTACTATACTTAAGAGATCAGTTGCCTGAAAGGTGTGATAAAAACATGTTAGAACAGGCATAGTTATGAATGTTAGAAAAGACTGGTTGTAGAGGGACGAATAAACTGAGAGAAAACAGAACTTAAAATTGAATTCAAAGAAGGTAGGTATCAGGGTCAAATGTTTAAAGTTTATGGGTTCTCACACACACATACTTATATAGCTTGAGTATATATCCTCTGGGTACTTTCTACAATATTCAGAGACTCAAGTCAATTGCCGCAGGGACCTCAATAAGTATCGGTACTTATTGTTTACACTAGTCTTTCTCAACACAGATTAAAGACTGGCAAACCACCCAACTGTTCACCATATACTCCAAGAGACTGCGAATGCTAACCCTTTGTATTTCCTTATTTAGCAAATATTTATAAAGTGCCCTTATATGATCAAAACCATATTGAAAAGCAGGTATTCAATAAATATTATTTTCTCCTTATAATGCCAATCTAAAGAATTTAGACTTAATTTTCTCTAGGCAAAGTTGAAATACTAAAGATATTTAGGCTGGGGACCTTTGTTTTAGAAAGTGAACTCTGTTCACATTGTAAGGAAAAATTAGATGATAAACTTGGAGGAGAAAGGCTGGAGACAAGGCCTATATGGAGACTGGTTTAATAGTTCAAGTAAAAAAGGGGAGTCTGAATTACAGCAACAGTAATGGAGGCAGAGAAGAGTCCATTTCAGAGACCAGAGTAGGCTATTAAAGACTCACTGGAAAGAGAAAATGAGAAAGAGGAAAAGCCAACCATGACTCTGAAGTCTTTAGGTAGATAAATTATTGACTGCTGATGCCACTAATGAAAAGAATAATTACACAGGAGGAAGAGATTTGGGATTGGGGAAGGTGACAAATAAATACAATCAGTTTTAGAAATAATTGAGTCTGACTGCGATTTGTACATTCATTTGAAAGTATCCAAGAGAGGACAGAAAAGTTACAACTATACAAGAATATTTGGGAGGTATGGTGTATAGGCTGAAGCCACTGAAATGGGTGAGCCTGCTAAGGAAAAGAGGGCTGAAAATGGAACCCTAAGAAACAGCAACATTTAAAATGATAAAGGAATGAAGATAAATGAATTCCAGGAGATTCTAGAAAAATCAGTTTCAGAGAAATCAAGAGAGGAGATTATTTCAAGAAGAAAAGGGTGAAAAATAGTACAAGTGTTTCAAAGATTTCATATATGATTCCCTCAGACATTTTCTTTTTCTCTTAATTCCTGAAGTAACACAGTTCCTATAACACTAATTTTGATACTCCATTACCAAACATTGTTTTTTAATTGTATTTTTATTTAACATATATTAGGTGTCTATTTCTGTAAGGCTCTATGGGACACACAAATTTGAACCCAAAAACCTAAGGATAGGTGAAGGAAGCATGGTATTATAGAAAGAACAGAGTTGAAGGACAAACTCCAATCCTGAATGTCTTACTACCTTTATGACCCAGAGCAACTTATTTAACTTCTTTGTGTCTTAATTTACTTACTTATAAAATAATAACAATAGCTATCATTTTTAAACCTTAACTGCCAGGTACTATGCTAGGCCCTTAATGTACTTTACCCCATAACCTCCTTACAACCCTAGAAGGGATATCATTATCTCCAATTTATAAGAAAAACGGAATACTGCGAGATTAACTAACGTACCAAAGAGGCACTGCTAATAAGTGCAGATCTGAGAATTTTAATGTGATCCTAGGCCTACACTGAATTTTCTGGGTATGTGAATATTAACCAGTACTCAGTAAATGTTCCCTTCATCTGGTAAGTTTTATGTGTGCGTGCTCTTCTTTCTTCTGACCTAGATAAAACATTCTAGGAGGAAAAGGTGTTTTCCATCAGCACTTGGCATATACACATAATAGTACCCAGTAAATATCCATCTATGAAATAAATAGAAATTTGTTTTGAGGCACTCATTTCGCAAATATTCCATATAATTAAATTTCAAGGCAAACAGTTTTATTAATTAATTTATTAATATTACATAATGCTTTTCTGAAATAGATCCCTCATGTAACTGTGGATTCAATTATAATCTCAACACACCAAACAGTAAAATTCCAACTTGTGCATATGAATTCCTTTAGAAACATTCAATTACTTTCAGGAAAGTATTATTTTAAAGTTTAGCACAGTCCAAAATTTGAGAAATGAGTAAATTACTGTTTCAATTAACTCTTAAATTTTTTGATCTCTATTTAAATTGTAAAGATAAGGGCTGAAATCCCATTTTTCATAATGAATTATAATAAACTGCTTTAAAATTAGTCTAAATAGGGTCAAAGGTCAGGATTTAGAAAACTACTCCAATCTCTAGCCCAGAGGAATTAAAAAAGAATTTAGAAACAAAAGTCACCTAGTTCAAAAAATAAATTAGTCTTTCACTCCAGTCAACGCTCAACACTCCATTCATTCCATAAATCTTTCTTCTTTTTTTTTTTTTTTTTTGAGAAGGAGTCTCGCTCTGTCACCCACACTAGAGTGCAGTGGCCGGATCTCAGCTCACTGCAAGCTCCGCCTCCCGGGTTTACACCATTCTCCTGCCTCAGCCTCCCGAGTAGCTGGGACTACAGGCGCCTGCCACTTTGCCCGGCTAATTTATTTTTTTTTGTATTTTTTTGGTAGAGACAGGGTTTCACCATATTCGCCAGGTTGGTCTCAATCTCCTGACCTTGTGATTCACCTGTCTTGGCCTCCCAAAGTGCTCCATAAATCTTTCTAAAGTGAGTGACAGGCACTAGAGTAGGCTCCTATGATAGAAAGATTAATAAGACACAGACCCTTCCCTCTAGGACTTCTCAGTTTAATGAGACATTTGCATAGATAATACGTGATAAACAAGGCAGGGAGCACCAAGAGAGATGACTTAGGAGATGGGGAATTCTTCAAAGTGGTGATGTCTGAGATAAGCCTTGAAAGATGAGCAGAAGAAAGGGAATTATAGGCTTAGACAACTGTGTGATCAAAGACATGGAAGGATGAAAGACCATACTATCTTTGAGAAACAATTCATAGTTTGGCTACTTGGAGAGCAGTAATGGGAGATGAGGCTATAAGTAGGGTTGGTTTGGATCAGTTTGCTGAAGACCTTGCATATCATAGTAAACGGTTGAGATTTCATCTTATAGTCAATGGAGGCCATGGCAGATTTTTGATAAGGGGAATGAAAGCAAACAAAATAAACTGGAGGGAAGAGAAACAAGAAACGTCCTCCTTCTCACCTCTTCACCCTTATTTCTCCCCTCCCCCTAACCTGACCAAATAACTATGAAAGAAAAAACCAGAATCTCAGAAACCCAAACTCGCTATACCAAAGGGAACATTAAGCTTGGTAACTGAATCACACGAAAACAAAAAACAAACAAAAAACCCCTGCCTTCCCTTTGTTCCCAGACAGCTTAGTTTCAGATTATGACTGTAAATGTAGATTTACTGAGTGAGAGAAATGCACAATTGACTTTTCCTCTACCCCTTTTCATGTGTTTAATGTAGATTCACTCAGCTATAATCAAAGCCTCACAAGAATGTAACCATTTGCCTCATTGTCTACCCTTCTCCTCTTTTTTCCCCTTCCTCTTTCCCCTTCTGCTTGTTCTTTTCCCTTTAAATACTGAAGTCCTCAAAACCCTCTTTGGAAAAAGCATGGGGCACGGATCCTATTGTAACTTGTATTTCTTTTCCCTGGGCATGTCATCAACCTTGGCAAAACAAACCTGAGTCAGTTGAGATCTGCCTCAGTCACGTTTTCGTTAACATAACCAATGCCAGATTTTAATAAAAGGAAAATTAAATGCAATTATCTTTTAGGCTCCACGAGGAATAAAAATGAATAACACAGGACCTAGAATCTCAAAAAGATTACAACTTAGTGGGAACATAGGTATATATGAAACTAATTTTTGTAGCAGTCAGAATGTGTAAGATGCCGTATCAAAAACTTAAGTAAAAGTGAGATTCAGAGAAGCTGATGAATAATCATAATTTACAGAATCAATTTAATTTAACAAGTATGTGTTGAGTGTATAATGTTGAATAGAGGAGAGGCATGTGTTTGCCCCATTTTTGGTGTTTCCTTCCATGCCCAGAAAGCTCTACTAACACATATTCCTGGAATCATTCTGCTCTGTCATTCATTCCTCCCTAGGGCATATGGCTGGTGATATCTTAAACTGTAGTTTCCATAATCCCCACATGTTGTGGGAGGGACCCAATGGGAGGTAATTTACTCATGGGGGCAGTTACCCTCATGCAGTTCTAGTGATAGTGAGTTCTCGCGAGATCCGATAGTTTTATAGAGGGCCTTTCCCCCTTTGCTCTGCACTTTTCTCTCCTGCCACCTTGTGAAGAAGGACATGCTTGCTTCCCCTTCCACCATGACTGTAAGTTTCCTGAGGCCTTCCCAGCCATGAGGAACTGTGAGTCAATTAAACCTCTTTCCTTTATAAATTATCTAGTCTCAGGTATTTCTTCAGAGCAGCGTGAGAATGGACTAATACAGATGGTAAAATTGGGATGAATAACCAGGCATGCTGGCTCGCCTCTTCCCCTTCCTCTTGGGAGCTGGCCTGCTGGCAGAGAGTCGTGTTCTGCATTCTCTTTGTCATATCAGAACCAGTGCCTGGTCTCCCAAGGGAGGCCTGTCGTTTTTCCACTACTGCAATTAGTGGATGGGTATTACGTCTGCCTAATTCTAAGGTTCAGATAAGCCATGTCCTCCAAGAGCTGTTTTCCCTTTCCAGTAACGAACAGCATGACTATATATCCCAGTTCGTGCATGTTGGGCTAGTATCTCATCAGGTTAGTGCCCCTTTCACTCTCAGAAGCATCCTATTTTGAGGATAAATTATAATCTCACCCTAGTAATAAAAGTGACATTCTGATCTCTATTTATGTCTTACTCCTCTGTCAATCTCTAAATTGGTTCAAACTGAGGTGGAGAATACAAAAGTATCATCTGTAGAAAATTCAAAGGTGAGTAAGCCACAATATTAGTCTTCATGATGCTTCTTATAAGAAAATCAGAGGTATAAAAATAGAAATAAGTATGTGAGGATAAACTACAATTTCACTATGTGTCCCCTCCAAAACTCATTTTGGAATTTAATCCCCAATGTGGCAGTATTGAGACATGGAGCCTTTTTTTTTTTTTTTCTCTAAGACGGAGTCTTGCTCTTCTCTAGCCCAGGCTGGAGTGCAATGGCGCGAGCTCGGCTCACTGCTACCTCTGCCTCCTGGGTCCCGGTTCAAGCAACTCTCCTGCCCCAGCCTCCCGAGTAGCTGGGATTATAGGAATGCACCACCATGCCCAGCTAATTTTTGTATTTTTAGCAGAGACAGGGTTACACCATGATGGCCAGGCTAGTCTTATACTCTTAACCTCATGATCCGCCCACCTCGGCCTCCAAACGTGCTGGGATTACAGGCATGAGCCACCGTGCCCCACCAATGTGGAGTCTTTAACAGGTGATTGGGTGATGAGGGCTTTGCCCTCATTAATGGATTAATCCATTCATGGATTAGTGGATTAGAAGGTTAATGAACTAATGGTTTATCACGGGAGTAGGACTCACGACTTTATAAAAGGAAGAGAGACCTCAGCTTTCATACCCAGCCCTCTTGCTATGTGATGCCTTGCGACACCTCAGGACTCAGCAGAGAGTCCCCAACAGCAAGAAGGTCCTCACCGGACATGGCCTCTATAACTTTAATAAATAAATTCATTTTCTTTACAAATTACACAATTTCAGGTATTCTAAGTGACAGAAAACAAAGTATGGTACAGGAAAGTATGAGGGTTTAAATGAGGGTGGGAGATCACACAGGGTTTGGAACCTTGGGAAGGTTCCTCATCAGTCCAAGATACACATGCCATGTTACCCATTCCAGTTATTTATAGCGGTCATCTTCCCTACTAGCTTACATGATTCTCCAGGGCAGAAAAGTGGATCCTATTCATCTTGGACTTATCCATTGTCCTTTGTTACTTATCCACATAAGAGGTAATCAAATAATTAAATGGAAATAAATGAATGGAGGAGTAGCATTTGAGTTGGCCCTTAAATGATGAGAAGGACACATATAGCCAATCAGAGGGCTATTCTAAGCAAAGGAAGCATCATTTGTCCTATACCTGGGGTTTCTCAACCTCCACACTATTGACACTTTGGGCTGGATAATTCTGTGTGTGGGGATAAGATGACTGTCCTGTGCAGGGGAGGATATTCATTAGCATCCCTTCTCTGGCCTCTACACACTAGACATCAGTAGCAACACCATCCTACCTCCATTGTGATAACCAAAATTGTCTCTAGACATTGCCAAATGTCTCATAAGAAGCCAATCATTCATTTCCCTGCCCTCAACCACTTCCATTAAGAACTACTGGCCTAGAGGAAACACAACATTGAGTGACAGTAGTGTATAAGATGATTCTATACTAGGTGCTGTGGGAATCCACAAAATAAAAGACATATCCTTCTACTAAGAAGACAGAATGTGTTATGTGTAAAAAATAGATGCAAAAAAATGCTACCAGAATATCAAGGGCAGGGGAATTAATATTAAACTTAATACGAGCTAAAATTGTGCTTTTTACATTTGGAAGCGAAGGAAGAGGCAAGAAGTGGGTGCTAAGACAGGATAGCTTGTGGAGAGTCTCGGATAGCATCTTAACAAAGTTTCTGAACAAAGGAATAATGTGAAGACCTGTGTTAAATGGACAGAATAATATTTTCTTTGGGGAAGCAGATTTAGAACAATATAAATATATCAAGCATTTAATAATACAAATTTTGATGATAATAACCTTTCTAGCACCCTTAATGTTAAAAATTAAAACCTAACTACATGTTAGTAACAATAATAAACATAAAAAGTATATAGTAAATATAATAAAGTATAGAAATCACAATATGTGGTACCTCAGATGGTGGCAGTCTGATTGTGCAAGCTTCTATACTTAGACAAACTTGAGTTTCTGTTACATTGATGTTTAATACTGAAAATAAAATATTTAACTGTGAACTATTTGGAATTATTACTCTACTATTAAATGAAGTATTTTAGTAACAAAGGAAACTAACTTATTCAAGTCAAAAACAAGAACAGATTTTTTTCCGCACATGGTAACATTCAAATAATAACCACTTAATATTTGACAGTTTACAGATGAGACATCTAAAAGAGGACAAAGGTATGAAACAGCATGAATATGTGTGTGGGGTGCAGGTCACAGGCAAGGTTACAATAAGAAAAATGAAACACCCCATAGTTAAGAGAAAAATCCAACAAATACCTTACACAAATCTGATCTATATTATATATACATGGAGATTGTCCTGTTCTGTAATCTAAAGAGGTATCACACCATGTTTCTGACTTGAGTAGTCTTTTACTAACAAATATCCTCAAATATACTGGCAGATATATTCCAGATCTCCTAGAGCCTTGAAGTCCTAGAGTCTAGAAGTCTTTACCTTTCTTTTTCATAAAGAAAACTATTTCTGAAATGTAAGGATAGTGGGGACTTTGGGAAGGGTTAGTACATGAAAAAAGCATGAGGGGGATTCTGAGGTGCTCTTAATGTTGTTTCTTCATCTGAGAACTGGTTACAAGAATGTTTAGTTTGTTAAAATTCAATGAGATAGACACTTAAAATTTGTCATAGTGTATTACATTTCAATAAAAGAAAAAAAATCCTAACACAGGAGTGAGGAATTTTCCTCTCCTAAACTGTTATTTTTAATCCCTACAGCTGTAGTGTCATGACAGTGTTTGGAGATGAAACTAGATGTAGGTAATGAACCTATTAACCCAGAGGTCAGGCACACTGACTGACACTACACAAATTAAACATAAAACTAGTTCAAGGAGAGCAAACAAGCTTTAGCTGGAAAGTCAAACCAGATCTAATAGCTGTAGATTACAGGTCAGGATTTTAAGGCTATGCCCAAATGATGTGAAAAGCTACCATGATTGATTAACAATGTCTACGGTGGTGACTCAAGATTCTCATCTATCTGCTATCTCTGGACTACTGTTTAGGAAAGTGTCTATTTGAAACACAACCATGCAAATCAATGAAAGAACTGGATTAGGCCATCTAGTAAACTGTATACTTTAGATCATCTGTGTCTCTTTTTACAATTTTATAAGGAGAAAAAGAATCCTATTCTTATAAGCAATAAAGCTTTGACTTACATCAGTACTAAAGAATTTTTGATGATATGATTCTGGAAACTACACATTATAAATGCGTACAGAATTAAACTCCTTCACAGTCATGATTTTCTTTAAGTAGAGAAATTAAAAATATAGCTTTTTCCAATTAGGATGAATTTTTCTCACACAGTCTAGAATGTACATTTCGAACAAGAAGTGATTTCACAGGTGAAATTCTGATTACAATACTATCTAATTAAGGTCTTATACAACCTGATTAATCAATAATTATACAACCCAATGATCTATGTTATCAGTTTTTTTTTTTTTTTTGAAAATAGGGTCTTGCTCTGTCACCCAGGCTGCAGTGCAGTGGTACAATCATGGCTCACTGCAGACTCAACCTCCTGTGCTCAACTGGCCCTCCACTTCAGCCTCCCAAGTAGCTGGGGCTACAGGCGTGGTGCCTGGCTAATAATTTTGTAGAGTTAGGGTCTCACCATGTTGCCCCAGGCTGGTCTTGAACTTGTGGGCTCAAACAATCTACCTACTTTGGCCTCCCAAAGTGTTGGAATTACAGGCATGATCCACCATGCCCAGCATATGATACTGTTTTCTTTAGCAACTATGAATTATATTATCTATTGACTTATGCATTTATACTTACCAACAGCACTTTGTTTTCCCATCTGAGAAAGAAAATCTCTTCCTTAAAAAATTCACAGAGTATGCCATATTATTACAACTCATAATCATGCTTGATATTTATAATTATGCTTGATGTGAAATTAACAAAGCTAAAGAAAATACTTTAAAATTCAGTTGTTATATAAAGTAATATCTGATGACAGCTGAAAAAATATAATCATTCAAAAGGTATCTCTTCAATTAAAAGGATGGAAATACCAATTCTTCCCCCAAATATCTATTTCCTACTATGAAATATTTAGAAAACAGTCAGACTTCAAGAAAAATTTGGGATAGCATCCCAGTTTTAACAGTATTGTGTTCATTTTATCATACAGCTTTGTAACTTACATTTATTCCTAAGTATCAAGTATTATATAGTAATTTTTTTAAAGAAACATCAGGCCTTTGTATATAATCCCAAAGTAAAGAAATGACATTTATGTTGTTGTGGGCTTGCTTGAGATTGCCTAGTTGGGTCAGTTTTAAGAATTATTTGCTAAAAATTATATATCTTAAAATTAAGAACAGATGCACATTGATATGGTTTGGCTGCATCCCCACCTGAATCTCGAATTGTAGTTTCCATAATTCCCACAAGTTGTGGGAAGGATATGGTGGGAGATGATTGAATCATGGGGGTGGGGCTTTCCTGTGCTGTTTTCGTGATAGCGAATAAGTCTTATGAGAGCTGATGGTTTTATAAAGGGGATTTCCCATGAGCACGCTCTCTTGCTTGCTGCCAAGTAATACATCCCTTTGCTTTTCCTTTGTCTTCCACCATGATTGTGTGAGGCCTCTCCAGCCATGTGGAACTGTGAATCCACTAAACCTTTCCCTTATAAATTATCCAGTCACCAGTATGGCTTTATTAGCAGCATGAGAACAGACTAATACACACATAACAGAAATAATCTAGTTCTGAAAGCCCTAAAGACCAAAAAGATAAAGTTACCTTGTATCAAGAGATGGCCAGTTCTATTCCAGGCTGGAGCAAGTCTAGCCGTGAATGAATATGAAAGGCAGTTCTGAAGAATTACAGGAATTACTCTTTGTGGAGCCTCCATCTAAATATATTAAATGGCAAAATATGGACAAATTTAGAGCAATTGCTGTGTATGTATATACTAACAGGAAACGACTGCCCATTTAGATCACCACCCAGCAAACTGGGGTATTCTAGGTAAAAATTATAGCCATTGCTAGAGCTAATCTTGTCTGGTTCTAAAGTTAAAGAAGTATTCAAATATATTCACTTCAAAACCGCTACTATTGTCATGCTATCATGGCCAAATATTACCTGCTTACCCTGGCCAATTAGTCTAAATCTTGAGAATTCTATGCTAAAAACCTTGATCTTTACTTTGTATTCTGCTCCACAAAGAGAAATCCAAATGAGGACAAACTTGTAATAGTTCTCATTATTGTTCACTCTGTTCCTGGACCAAACTGAGGGTCGAGCTGCTATTTCCTGTGGCCCAATAACGAGATGCAAATGAACTGGGGAGGAAGAGAGTTTTTATTTTCTGCAACTGGTTACAGGGAGAAGGCCTGGAAATTATTGCCAGACCACCTCAAAATTACAAAGTTTTCCAGAGCTTATATACCTTCTAAGCTGTATGTCTATGTATAAGTGTGCATTTATCTAAAGACATAAGTGATTAACTTCTTTTAATCTATAACTAAGGTCTGAGTCCTGAAGACCTTCTTCTGGAGCCTCAGTAAGTTTACTTAATCTAAATGGGTCTAGGTACTGGGGTGATTACCCTTACCTTGTCTCCTGCTAAATAAAGGTTTGGGGAGTTCCTTTAGACCCCAATAAACTTGTTTGTGGAGGCCTAGGGAGTTTCTTTAGCCTCACAATAAAACTTGTTTAATCCTAACAGGGTCCTGTTAAGAATTCCTTCGTTATCTTGTCATGCTTCAAGGCCCAGGAAAAGCCTAGGCAAAACTCTTGGTGGGTGCTTTGTTACATTTCAGCCTTTGTATAAGGGCAAAGGCTCAATTAGCTTTTAATGTTTAACCTTGCTACTCAGTCAGTGCTGGAACAGTTGTAATGGAGGCCTGAGTTAGTGAGACCTTGCCTGCCACAACTGTAGAAAACAATACATACTTGCATGGGCACACATGCAACCAAGAGAATATCTCTACTTGTATAATACAACATTAATTTTAAAAATTAAGATTTTTCACTTATAATTAAGACCAATAGGTAATAGGAACCAGATTTATCCTCCCACTCGAAATGCCTAAAACACCAGGCAAGCTATATGAAATAACAGTTCACAAGATATCAGACATCAGGCAACAAAGAACAGTGATCCCCAAAAGATGGGAAATGAACAAGATAAGCCCTAGGATTTCCCCAGCTTCTTGATGATAGAGGGTTTCTAGGCTGCAGTACAGAGCAGGGGAACCTAGGAAGAGGCCAGTAGTCTCGCTGAATTAAGGAGACAGAGCTGAAAGTCTAGGAAGCTAGAGGTTTCAGTGCAAAGTATGGGAGAGGAAAGAGCTGCACAGAAATCAAACTCTGGAGGTCAACAGAGAGTCAGCTGAGTACGGATTAGCACAGACATGTGAAGAAGCTACCCAAGGCTGGAGAAAGAGCCAAGGCTGTTTGATATATAAACATCCTTGAAAATACAGTCCAGAAAAAATTGCTGGCTTTGCCCCTGTGAAAAAGGACATGCAGAAGCATGAGAAAGTCGAGGAAAATTGTCTCCCGATATTATCCATCTCTAAGTTTTGTACCATTTTGATTTCTGATGAATGTTTCCAGGACATAACTGAATAATCTGTTGGCAGAGGATGGAACCAAATTTCTTCAGTTTGTCTCATACAGAATTTAATTAAGGCTACTATCATTAGGATTCCATAATGCTGACCTCAAACATGGCCCCAGGGGCCCAGACCCAAACAGTTGAATAAACCCCATAAACCACCAGGGTCTTCCTTAGAGAGCTAGGTGGATTTCTCTCTTAATTTCTGTATTGACTTTCTCTATGGCCCAAGGAATTAATCCAGATACAGCAAAATCTATCAGCACAGACTCAGCCTTGGCACGCAAGGAGGAAGTATGGGGCAATTCTGTCATTCATAACCATCCTGGTTGGTGACCTGGATGCCTTGCAGTGCAAAGATGGTGTGAGTCATCACTTCAGCTAAAGTCAGGGACAAATTCTCTACCACTTTTTCTATGTGAGTGACTCCCATCGCAGGGAAAACTGCTTTCAGGATGTGCATGAACAATGGATTGTTATCTCTCTAAGAAACTCCTCCAAAATAACCAAGGGCAGCCTCGTTTTGGAGAGTTTGCAGCAATTGTCTAAGGGCTACAAACAGAACTTCAAGGAGAAACAGATGAATTCATAATTACAGGTAAAGACTTCAATACTACTCTCTTAATAACTGATACAAGTGAACAGAACATAAGTGAGAATATAGCAGACTTAAAAACACTATCAACCAATGTGACCCAATAAACATTTATAGAATACTTGATAACACATTTATAGGATACTCATTCTTCTCAAATGGACAAGGAACATTTACTAAGATAGACTATATTCTGGGGCATAAAATAACCTCAATTAATTTAAAAAGATTCAAGTTATAAAGAACGTATTCTCTAACAACAACTACACTGGAAATCAATAGCAAAAAGATCCCTGGAAAATCCTCAAATATTTGGAAACTATATAACACACTTCAAAATAACCCATAGATCAAAAAAGAAATCAAACAGGAATTATAACGTATTTTTTAACTGAAGAAAATCAAAATAAAACGTGTTTAGGAAGAAATGTATAGCACGAACGTGTTTAGAAGAAATGTCTCTATATTACAAAACAAAGAAATTCTCAAATCAATGACCTTAGCTTCCACATTAAGAAATTAGAAAAATAAGACCTATAAGATTACCAAGGGCAGAGACTTTATCTGGTTCACAGCTTTATCCCCAGTATCAAGTACAGTGCTTCACATGTTATAGATGTTCAATAAATATCTGCTGATTATGATTATGTGAAAAGTACTCATATAAAGAAAAACTGAGCATAACCATAACAGCTCAATGAGGGTAGAAAAACAAGTGATACTGGAAGAAAGCTTGTGAATAATAAAGAATTCAGGGTTGGAAAGTCTAGTGAAGGTAACAAAAATTTAGTTTATAGGAATGAAAACTGAGATAAATGGAAAAAGGATAAGAGTGTAAACAGAAAAATGTTAAACATTTTGGAGATGTGACACCTTGTACTGATAAAGTCATAGGTGTGAATTAACAAGGTGGAAGAAAAATAAAGTACAAAGCATTTTTATTATTGTATAAGGACTATGGGTGATATTTTCTTAATTTTTCATTCTTTCTTATAAAGTACACAAAAAATGATGATGCTTAGTATAAATAATGCTTTATTAAATCAATACAGTAAGTCCTCATTTAATGTCATTGATAAGTTCTTACAAACCATGACTTTAAGCTAAACGACATAAAACAAAACCAATTTTGTTATATTGGTTTTGGCTATTGCTAAAACAATAGGCTAACTGATACAATTAAAAGTTCCTATGGCATAGTTCTGGTCACAAAAAATCACTAAGCTTTTAAATAAAGACCAAAAACACTTGTAATATTAACATTGAAATAAATATGAGCTATACATACATTTAAGAAAGATTAATAAAAACAAGTAAGAATTATTCACCCAATTTTTGGTGAATCAGTGAATGACAGTGGTAGTAGTGGTGGTGGGTAAAATCAAAGAATAAATGTTTGCAAAGTGAAAATTTTAAGGAGCACCTCCTACTACCACACAGTTCAAAACAATCACAAATATGACAGGCTCCCTGAGTGCTTTCGTACCGCATCATTTACTGTAGTGCATCTGTATGATTATTGTATACTTTATGAACATTTATTTTATAATAATTTGTATTCATGTATCAATTTATTCATTCATTTCCCAACTAGCTTATTCTAGTTCAGGGTGGTGGGTGGCCAGAGCCTATCCTGGTAGCTCCAGGTGCAAGGTGGACTCCATTCACCTGGAGCTACCATTCCATTGGACTCCATTCCATTGCAGGGCAAACACACACATACCCACCCTTACTCAGCCTGGGACACTTTATACATGCCAATTCCCTTAATGTGTGCATATCTGGGATGTGGGAGGAACCCGGAGTATAAAAAGAAAACCCACTCAGACAAGGGAAGAAGGTGCAAACCACACAGACAGTGGCCTTGACTGGGAACTGAATTATTTTCCTTTCTTATTAATGTTATATTGAAACAATGTTGAACAAAATTATTTTATTCAAGGATCTGCTATACTAAAATGTTACCTATTCTTAGGCCTTAATAAATAATAGAATTTGGTAGAGATTGCTTAAAGACCCAAGTCCTAGTTCTAGGTGAATGACATACTGTAAATCTGGTTCTCATAGCTAGTTTGTAAATGGCCTTTCAAGATAACCAGAATCCTTAGATGACCAAAGACTTGTCTCAGGAAAGAGATGTAAACATATTCTTTCCTCATTGCTCTTGAATAATACTGTTTTCCCACAGATTGTAACTGATGGCCAGAACCAACTTTCAGGTCATTCAAAGATTTCTCAGGGAACTGGAAAGTGTTACTGAAATTTTACTTGCCTAGGACCTAAAGGCAACATCTCATTTTAAAGATGCCTAGAAACCTCATCATCCCAAACTCTACTAGACTTAGGAACAGAGGCCAGCAGTAACAGCTGGATGGGCTTCTGGGATAACCAATGACAGTGTCTCAGAGTTACATGCAGAGGCATGAAGAGAGCTCTAGTCAAGGCTCCATGACTCAATTTACTGAGACACAGAGGGGTCTCAGTAAATGAATACTAACCACTGTATCATCTTTCTCTTTGTGAAGATCCAGAAGCTCATCACCATGTAGAACACAATCTATAATGTTTTATTTCTCTACATATTAGCTATATAATATGGGCAATAATCTCATCTCTCTGGGTTTATCTGTGAAAATGACGAGATTCACTTATTTGAAGATGTATATGGCAAAAAAGATTATGCCACATTAAATGCCTGAAATAAAGCATCCAACAAAAAAGCCTCTTCTCCTCTTTCTACACTAAATGTGCACATAATAACTGTCAGGAAAAATGTGTTGGGTTCTTTCATATGTATAACAATAATCTGTGAGAAAGATACTCCAGTTTTTGTTTGTTGACAAAAGGAGTGAAACATATAATCACTATAAACAACATATGGTATTAATATCATTTTTTAACACTTACCTTAGCTCCATATTTTTCAACACAGGCATTAAGTTTTCTTGCTTTATAAAATGGTATCTGTAACAAAAATCCACATTTATAAAAAGGACTTAACATAAATATATAATTAAATAATGCAATAAAGAAAGATTTTAAGCATTATTCTGTAAAGGGCAAAGAATCAGGCCATCATCCAATTAGCACTTGTGCCTTGGAGAAGAAGTGATGATCATTCTCTCCCTGAATTGGAATCTGTGGGCACATTTTCAAAGTGAGGAAAGCCTTTCGAGGAGTGACATGACCCCAGTATCCATATAAAGGAAAAGGCCAATAAATTTTGTATAATAAATATTTAACACGTTTCTTAATATATAATTCTTAGGCATGAATAAGGAAAATAGTCATAAATGGAAGATCATGTTCAAAGGCCTAAGTGCTCCAACTCATTAATAAAAGGAATATAAATTAAAGGAAAATATTATTTGTAACCCAACAGACTGACAACTATTTAAAGGCGTGAATATCTACAGTGTTCGTGAGGGTATGGAAAAACAGGTTTTCTTCCAGACTATTTGTTAACATACAATCCAGCAAAAAGCTTTTCAGACAGCAATTTAGCAGTATCTATATTGTAGTTTAAAGTGCATTACAATCTATCTCTAAAAATGTAACCGACAAACTATCAGACAAAAGTGATACAATTTCAATGATGCTTTCTGAAACACTGTAACAGCACAGACTCAGATGTGCACTGGAAAGTATTAGGTAAATTACTATACATCCATACAATGAAGTATTTCACAGCCTTAAAAATGAGGAAGATATGCGTACTGACATGGAAAGATATCCAGGAAAGGCTGTTAAAGGGGAAATGAATGGCAAGTTTCAAAATAGTATGTATGCAATCCCATTTTCTACTTTTAAACATCAACTTTTTTTTTTTTCCCACGGAATACCTTTGTAAGAAAGCAATACATTTTTTAAAAAACAGATAGCTACTTGCCTCTTATCACCCTTGCTTAAATTCACATACTTGAATTTACTAGTACTGTAAAATAATGTCCTTGTTCCATAAAGATGTTTAGGTAGAAAAAGATACGAATAAGATATTAATTTACTTGTTCACCAACAGCTTGCCTTTTAAAAAAACTTTATTAAGAATAAGAAAATATGGCTGGGCACGGTGGCTCAAGCCTGTAATCTAAGCACTTTGAGAGGTCGAGGTAGGAGGATTGCTTAAGCTCAGGAGTTCGAGACCAGCCTGGGAAACATGGGGAAACCCTCTCTCTACACAAAGGACAAAAAATTAGCTGTGCATGTTGGCATGCACCTGTAGTCCCAGCTACTCAAAAGGCTGATGGAGGAGGATTGCTTGAGTCTGGGAGCTGGAAGTAGCAGTGAGTTGAGATGGAGCCACTGCACTCCAGCCTGGTCAAGAGAGCCATACCCTGTCTCAAAAAAAGGAAGGAAAGGAGGAGGGAAGGAGGAAGGGAGGAAGGGAGGAAGGGAGGAAGGGAGGAAGGGAGGGAAAATACGAGATGGACATATAACCAAGACCTAGGAGAAAAATAAAAGAACTAAACTTTGAATAAAATATGATAAAATGTATCAAGCCCGTGCTATCTTAAAAATTATACTATAGCATGTTTTATTCATTAATAGTCTTTATCTTAGCATTTATAATGAGAAAAATAAATGTTAAATTAGAACCACAAAAATGGATTTTACACATCAGGCATTTCAATATTAGTTTGTTAATAATCCAATTAACCTATAACACATTGTGATTAATCAATTAATCCTCATAAACATCTTAACTTTAGCTAGAATACATAAATTATTATTTATCAATATTGTTCTCAACTAGTAATAACATTTCAAAAATATTAAAATACTAACCGCCATCACCACCCAAATTTGGTTTAATATTCCAGACACAGGTGATGCAAGAATATCTTGATGCAAAAACAGCAATTGCCTGTGGAGATGAAATATATTACAAAGTGGACTTGCTCACTGATATGATTTGTTTCTGTGTCCCCACCCAAATCTCACGTTGAATTATAATCCCCAGTGTTGGCAGAGGGACCTAGTGGGAAGTGATTGGATCGTGGGGGTGGATTTCCCCACTGCTGTTCTTGTGATAGTTCTCATTAGATCTTGTTTAAAAGTGTGGAGCACTTCCTCCCCGCACCACTCTCTCTTGTTGCCATTAGAAGAAGGTGCTTGCTTCCCCTTCACCATTCTGACATGATTGTAAGTTTCCTGAGGCCTACAATCATGCTTCCTGTTAAGCTTGCGGAACTGTGAGTCAATTAAACCTCTTTTCTTCATAAATTATCCAGTCTTAGGTAATTCTTTACAGCAGTGTGAAAACAGAGTAATACACTCACTGTCTGTTCTTACCTTATTGGAACATTTTAAACATTTGCTTAGCTAAAATGTTAAGTTTCTCCTAGCCAACAATTGTGTTAGAGACTTTCTCTCCTCACACTTAGCATAGCACCTTGAACAGTGTAGGTGTAGGTACTCAGGCAATATTTGAATTAAGAGAATTAGGAAGTTTTAGATACTAATACTAACATGAGAACTTGTCCCTGCATCTGAATTTCCTAATCTCTTTCATCTGTGAACCTAAATTCATCTTTTAGAACTCAAGTTTTGTCCTAAATACTTGAAGAAATCTACACACAGTGAAGAATCTGTCTCTTTTAACTCCTATTTCTTCCATTTTTCCTTTAAAAAAAAAAGGTGGTGGGCAGGGGGCACCAGAGGCAAGAGTCTAAGGATTCACCTGTCAGTGAAGTTACCAACCACTTAAACATTTAGAGCTACTGACTAAATCCTTTTCCTTCAGAAAGGAAATTCTTCCCAAACCAGAAAGAACTAGGTAGTGGTTTCAACAGCCAAATGAACTTAAAACAAACATCATCAGAATCAAATTACCATTAATAATTTCATTTCAAGGTTCAAGATAGGAAAAATACAAAAAGAATACAACTGGAAATCTGAAAACCTTCAACATTAGTAATCATCAAAGAAACAAATTAAAATAACCATTAGGATGTATATAGGGTTACCTTGAAAACCAACATAGGCAACGTAGAAAACCAACAATCTGTTTCTGGTGGCTTCATATTTGTTGGAACCCAGGTGTATCAGGTACTTGCCTTGGCAAGGTCTGCCATTATCTGACACAGCCAAATGCTAATAGAGAGAGCTCTGCAATCTCTATTCAAGACTCTCTGTTAAACCAGGGTGAGTTAAGATAACCCCACTCTGTGGGCATGGCTACCTTCAATCTGAGGGCAAACAGAAGAAAAACCTCACTTTAGGTTTTCTACCTATTTTAGTATTTCCAAAAGGAGTCGCAGATTAAGTCCTTAACAGGTATCAAATTATACTTTAGCAGGAAGGGTACAGGCTCCCTAATGCCTTTGGGTGGGAAAATATGCAAAAGAGAGAAGAAAAACTTTGTAAATAAGAGGAAAATGAAGGACACCCCAAAAGTGGCTTCCTTATTTCTTGCCTCTGGGTATCTTCTAGTTGTTTGTTCTTCTCTAAGCAATTCATTTAAATATAGAATCTTCTCATGTATTCTATGACTCTTCCTTTGAGTGCCTCAAACAATTTAAAGACGGGTCCTCAGTAATCATGGAATTATACTTTAGGTTTCCTCTAAGCTGTTTTTCTTTTCTTTTCTTCTACTTTTTTTTTTTTTTTT